AACAAACCAAAACAAACAAACAAACAAAAAACCCCAAACCAACTACCCTAATAGCCAGGTGCCTTAAAAAGACAATTGACTATTATCTTGCATTGCTCTGTGCTTTGCCAGGGCTCAGCTGGAGAGTGACTGCAATGAAACAGCATCTGGGGCTGAGTTGGATGAAGGCTGGCAAGTCTGAATGTCCTAGCAGCCTCCTCACTCCCTTGTTTAGTGCCTACACTGAGCCCTCCCTCAGGAAGGTGGTCTTAAGCTATCTGTGCTTCTAATTTGGTGGTTGGCTTTCAAAAGGTTTCTAGTCCCCCTCAAGACAGGTATGGAATTAGCATAACATCACTGCATTATATTAGTCAAAGTGGTCGCAGGCAAGCCCAAACTCAGGGTGGGGTTGGGGAGAAAAGGCTCCCCCTGTCAGTCCAGTCGATGGAATGCACACTTGTGCAGTTATCTTTTCCAGGACATGTAGGATGAAAATGTGGAGATGTTTATGGAACAATTATGAGCCTTTTTTGCATCTTCAGAGGGAAGTTAGAGGTAGAACTGTGAATGGGAAAATTTTATCGAAACCAGGGGAACAGGGGTAAGATAAAGAAGGTGAGAATGGAAAAAGAATGACATTACACTAATTGAGAAGGGGAAGCCAACAAAGGAGAGGGTAGATTGATAAAGCCAGTGAAGAGCAAATCAACCTGAGTAGACAAGAGGGGTAAGAGTGTTAGGAGTGATGAGGGTACAAATGCTGCCTGAAAATTGGGAAGGATCTTATCAGAGGATAAGAGGTAATTGGAAGTTTAGGAGATGCCAGTGACTTGAATGAACATTTACAGTCACATTGACCAGGGAGAGAAAGACTTTATGGTATTGAGGTATAAGGAAGCAGGAGAAAGCATACAGTGCCCCTCTTGGAGGATGGCAGGCATCAGTTAGGTGTGCCACCCTGAAAGATCTGACTTTGCCAGGATGGAGAAGGGAGGGGCAGGAAAGCTGTTTTCCCAGTTTTCTCTGCCCGTTTGAAAGGGTGGGCTGGGAGAAGGAAAGAAGAGAAGGAAAACAGAGAACAAAGGAAGGACCAGTAGAAGAGATGTACAGAAGAGATATTTAGCTTCAGAAAGGACTGGAGATGTTGGATGATACAGGAAGAAACATGGAGAATAAAATTTGGCAGTGGAGGGGAACGGACAGAAATCTTCAAGCTCTCTGTGAAGAGAGAATTAAACCAATTCATCCTGGTAGAGATCTTAGGATTTTCCACCTCCAACCCATTAGATGCCACTCTCTCTGAAAAATCTTTCCCATCTTTGCTTGTATACTTTCTCCCAGGTTGCCCTCCTTGATTCAACCAGCTAGAATCAAGGATTCTCTCACCTCTGAACATCTATCAAATATTTCTTTAACTTCTAATTCCATGTATTTATTTCCATACATTATTTAGTGAGAGTTTCTCTTTCTTTCTAAGCTTTCTCTAAATACATTTAAAAAAAAAAGAAGGAGGAGGAGGAGGAGGAAGAGGTAAGGGATATAGAGGGATATAGGTTTGATATGAAGAGTGTTGGTCATTGGTAATGAGTACACAAAACTGGAGAGGGTTTAGTAGAACTGGAGATGAGAAACATAAAAAACTGCAGAAACCAACTTTCATCTAGCTTTAGCATTTTCTTCATTATTTTGGTTCTAATTGTTGATTAAGAAATTAGGTAGAATTAAAATAATTCAAGATAATTTACTTGTTTATGAAAAATTCTAAAGATAAAGAAAATTATAAAGGTAAACAGTTTCAAGCAGGACAGGGCTATAACATGATCACTAACTTTTTTAAAAAAGTCTAGTCATATTAAATGATACTTGAATCTCCATCTTTTAATATTTAGATAGTCATGAACTATCCTTTCCATCTTTTTTTTTGGTATAAATTGCCTTAGAGAAACTGGTTTAATTGTTTTACAATTTGAAGATTTCATATAACATTATTTTCAGCTAACACTTCTCTTTCATAGACACAAAAATTACTTGACAGAAAAATAGTATGAATTAAGAGTTGAGTGTGTTAGAATAAATAATATAGTCAACTAAGTCAAAGATAATTATGAAATAAAAGGTGAAATAGACTATCTTTTTTTTGGACACAGGCTAATATTATAGTGTTATTTATACTGAACAAGAAGCATGCCTCCTTGTATCAAATCATAAAATATAAAAGTCTAGAATAGCCCTTGGCCTGTAAAAAAACAGATTTTAACTGTGTGTTTTTACCATGTCCTGGTTTTAACAGAAAACAAAAGATGCATGGTAAATAGAATTCCCATGTATTTTGTTTTCTTACAAACTAAAATATAAGCCCCTTGAGGAGAGGGAGTATATCTTTCAAAAGTCCCTGTGCCTGGTGTAAGCATTTCCTGAAGTGATGGAAGATGAATAAATGAATGAATAGATGAAGCATGGGTATTGAAGTAAGCTTTATTTGAATATAATCTGAAAAATTCTAAAGCAAAATTATAAACCAGGATGTGAGTAATACAGTGAATATAATATATAAATATCCATCCTAGGTTCTATATTATATACAATAATTGTGCAAGCATAAAACTTACACTGAATGGAATGGGCAACTGGGACACCCAATACCGAAAGAGAGAATGTTGATAAAATTATGTAAAACATTTTCCAATATGGTAGAAAAAAAGATATTAAATATTTTGAGATAGTCCAGATTAATCTTTGCTATGAGCAGATAAGTTTTGTGAAAAAAGTTTTTAATGAATATAGGCTTCCATCAGAGAGCATTCTTTCTCTCCTTTTACCCTTAACTCTAGAAAAAACAATTTTGTACCTAAGAGCAAATCTGGTGGATATAGATAAAATGAGCAACAATTTTCATTTGAAAATTGTTTTATGATTTCTAGAGCTTATAATTTAGCTCCAATCACAGTAAGAAATATATATTAAAATGGATATTTTAGAGTATATTATTAACACCATAAAGTAAAGAAAATATCTTAGAAATAGAACATTTCATCTATGTTTAGACTCTTTCATTTGAAATAAGTAATCTGTTTGATTTTATTCCAAAAAGCAGATTTATGATATCTGGCTTGGAATATTCTATGTAGGCTAATAATTTCACTTCTATGATATGGAGCTCTAATTGGATCATAAATTGTCTGCTGAGGCTACTCTGTAAGTAGAGTCTAGCTGCTTCTTTTGATAGTCTGAAGGAAGAGGAGGACAAGTCCTCCAAAGACATTAAATCTTTCTCAAATAGTGGTTACAAAATTGTAACTGAGATATAAATATGTGTGCATACCCTTATATAAAGTAACATCATTATTAGCTCTGTTGATAAAAACCATTATTAGCTCTGTTGGTTTTGTCCTTTAATTTGAGAAACAAAGGCAATGAAAAAGAGGAAAATAAGACAAAGCCATACAAATTGGATTTCAGAGAGGCTAAGCCATCTGTTCATCAGATTGATAAATTACTATGACCAAGGCACCATGGGAGAACTATTCATTAACATTTAAAGGCAGTGAAAACTCACAGGGACCCTAAGCCAACTGGCCTATAAATCTACAAATCATATCCATTAGAACAGAAAACATAAAGAAGAAATCTATATTGACATACATTGATTGATTGATTGATTGATTGCAGTGCTGGGGATTTAACCCAACACATTATGCAGGCTAAGCAAATTCTTTATCACTGAGCTACACACTAAGTCCTGGCATAATATTATTTTAAGGTATTTTTCACAAGCAAGGATTTAAAGATATTTATATATTATATATATATCTATTATATATATATATCTTCTTTAGATATATTCCTTTAAAGATATACATATATATCTTTATATATATGTACCTTTCATATATGTATCAAATATATGTATGCATATATATGTATATACATATACACACTCACATATATATATATACACACACATACATATATTTGATTAGGATGATTTTTAAGATGTGTGCATATATCTCCATGTATACATATCTATATCTATCTGTATACATACACATAAGATGAGATGGTCAGAGTTTTTAATTTAATAACTGAAGTTATTAAATATTAGCAATATAATTTTCCATTACCATTAGTAGCATCAATTATTGTTCAGAAAAGGGAAAAGCTTAAATTATTATAAATTGATATTTTTGTGCTCTTTATCCCATAATATTATGTCGGTATTAGAGAAAAATCAGGACAGCCATGGGTCCTGTAGGAGACTGCTCTACAAGAAGCCTGTATCTCATATCAAGGTTAAAACTTCAATGAGTTTCCATTGGCTGAATGATTGCATAAATTAATGCCATTCAGAACAGCTTTAACTTGCACAGCTGACTTAGGAAATGTGTGACTAAGCTTCTAAATTGGCATCCGAGGCGCATTTACAGGAGTTGCCTTATCTCTGCACCACTTATTGCCTTTCATCCCCCCTCACTTCCTCCCATTATCATCATCACTTTCATCACAGGCAGCTGAAGTTTCTCCTTCAAAATCAAAAGCCCTTGGAGACTAGTCCTGCTTAAAGTTATGGGTAGCTAAAAATGTTGATGATGTGGTGTATCTCTTTCATTTCCATTTTGATTAAGTGAAAGCCTCTTAATTTGGGTCATTATTGATACATAAATCTGTAGAGAAAATGAACATGCATTTATAATGTGACCACATTACATGATTTATTGTTCTTACAACATATAAATACAGAAAGAAAAAATAGAGTCCAGCTCTTAGATCCCCTGGATATGAAGCACTGACAGGGACTAATGGGGCAAATGCACATCCTCTGAGCAGATCAGCCCCTGCTCTCAATGGCTCAAGACTCATTATGTCAACTGAACTAGGTCTCCCATTAAAACAACAACAACAACAACAACAAAAACAAAAAACAAAAAACCACATCTAATATCAGTCTGTCTACTCTATTTGACTGAATTTTTTGAGGAGGATTTGTGAGTGATAAATGAAAGGCTCAAAATGGGTTTCCATACCTGATTGTGGACTTTGTTTAGGAATTTTGGCTACCGCTTGAGGACTGGAGGTGGAGTGCGTCCGTTGGTTGGCTGAGTTGTGGATGCTGCTGGGAACTGCAGCTGAGATGTTCTTTCGGGGCTTCATATCTTGCAGCCACATAGGTGAGGCTTCGAAGGCCTGCATCCTCCGAGCATGACTGTTGGCATTGACTTTCAGGTAGGCCTGGGCCTTGTGTTCTTGGAGCTCCCCATAATTGGCATCAGTCACCCTGCACTCATATAAACCTTCGTCCTTTTTCCTCACTTTGGAAATCTGAAGCTTGTGGGAGATGTCATTGCCTTGAACTTTCACTGTCTGAAAAATTGCAGGTAAAAAAAAAGTGCTGCATGAAATGATTTTGTTCTCATTCTTTATCCTGAGCTTGTTATGTTGGAAAACTAATGGGCCTTAATGACCTCATAGCTACTGTCAGGGGGCTTTTTATTTCCTTAACATCTGATCTTAAGATCTTATTTATTTTATTCCACTAATAATGACATTCACATACTTAGGATAATGAGGTCAGTCCAAACAGAGCCATATTATCAGTGTGGTTCATACTCTTCAGGTTCTGATAAATAGAAGTGCCAGCATTTTCTCAACATGGGACTGGATTAACTCTGCTTGGTTAACTCAGATGAATGGAGTATAAACCAATGAGGCCAACTCCGTAGTTAATACAGACTCTTTTCTTTACTGTGGGTTATAAACTAACCCCTTCAAATCTGGAAGATCACAGAAATACTTTTGTTGGTCATAACAGCTGAGGTGAGAATATACTTTTATCCCTACATTGAGGTGATTACTAAAGGTACTGTTACAACAGGCCCACACCTATTAATGTTTTTTTTTTTTCTCAAAATTTTCATGTAATCTTGGTTACAGTTATTGGGTGGCAAAGCTCAGGTACTTGTTTATATCACTTAAAGTCTTATGGCTCAAAGTATATACCAGATGCCTTTGAAGGAAATTGCAATGCCATCAATAAAACACTGATTTGGTTTTCAAAATTGAAATTGACCTTTTTATTTCTTCTAATAATTTTGTTCCAGGTTTTTAATATATCAGCTATATAAAATGTACATGATACATAATAAATATGATATATTTAAATATTATTATTGGAACAGTTAGATTTAATATATATCATGTTATCCATGATTGACAGAATGATAGATTTCATAAGACATTCAGGATTTCAGGTTTGAGTTAATTTTGAAAGACAGATAAAAGTAGTGGAGACAAGAATATAGTTATTCTGCTAATGGCTATTGCATTTTCAAACAGCCATAAATAATTAAGAAAATTTGAGAAATGTTATTCTGTGTTTTATATAAACATATATGTATATAAGCATATATATAACAAGTAGTTTCTGACATTTAAATTATAACCATAAGTATATATTTATGTGTATGCAAACTTATATATAAATATTCTAACATTATAAAATAATGGAAGTCAGTTCTACATATATTCTTGACTAAGTCTTCTAACACCTGGAGGTAGTCAGAGTATTTATATCATTATTATCCCATTTTACCATGGAGTAAACTGAGGTTTAAGAAGTTTGCTTAGTGATTCTTAACACTGATTTTTATATTACAGTCAATCAGTTTTGCTTGAATTAATGCAGTTCTATGTAGTCTAGAGGTTGAAGCTTTATCAATATTTTATAAATATTTCCCAGAAAATCTAAGTTAATACATGTTGGTTTAGTACAGAAGTTAAGGTCACACAGAATGTGCAAATTACCTTCTGCCTTAGTTCATATCTAGAACTCTTTTCAACTCAGTAGATTCTATAATCTACTGACCTAGCTATTGCTATTTGCAGTTGCATATGTGATTATGTCTCTGTATGTGTCTGAAGGCTCTTTTTGTTACTGTTCTTCAGATGGTATAGAATGGGCATGAAGGATAAGTTGTTAATATTCAATCAATAAGCTATCTAATTATATGTGTATGTACAAAGTAAAATGCTTATGAAAAACACTATTAATTGATTTTAACAGTCAAGCTTTTCCTAGCATTATAGGAAAACAACAGCTTCTGTGATGTAAGAAAAATTGAAACTAAAATATTCTAAAAAAGTTTGTGATTTTGTGAGTTATTAAGTTGTTTGATATTTCTTCCATGTTGAGATTACACAATTAGATGAGAGATTTAAGTTCTGCATACAATATATTTTTATGCTTTTAGTTATAAAGTAACCCCAATCTTACGCCACGTTATGCTATTGTAAGAGCTTTAATATAAATTTTTCTAAAATGTAGATTATTGAATTTTTAGATATCTAAAAATAAACAGTATATTCATCCTCCGCAGATTTCTTCCTTTTGTATTATAAAACGATTTCATATCTAGTACTGAAAACTTGTTAAAGCCATTTTTCAAAGTAAGTTGTATCATTAATGAATTTACTCTGCATAGCTTAATTTGAAGTATAGCAAAAAAGATGATTTTCATTTTCTTCTCATCATATAATTATTCAAACTAATAACCAATGGGGTAAAACAATATTTTCTTAGTTTCAATAGGTCAGTCTTCTCCAGTAATGGTTGCAAATTTATATTTGCTTTTGGCTTTATATTTTAATGATTTTGAGTACCAGCATTAGAACTACATTAGATGCACTATGAATAACATTTAAATTTGAGTTTTTTTATTTCATTATAATTTCAAAATCTTCTTGGATGCTTTAATTTTTTTCTCTCTCTAGGAAGATTTTTGTATATTACTATTTCACTTTCTATTAAGGGATAATCATTTCCATAATTTAAAATGCATTTTAGCATTGCAGCCCTTCACTCTTATACAACTGTTACAAAGAACAAGAAAAAAAAAGTCACACAACCTTTTTGGATACCAAAATGATTCTCTAGTTAATTTCTAGGTATTTACATGATTAATACATAATCTTACTTATGGACTCTCAAATCGCTTCAGTTTTTATGTACCTAATGAGGTAAAGAGGAGATAACTGGCTCTTATCCTGCGTTTGCAAAATTGCTTTTTTTTTTTTCAGGGACAACAAATTAAAAGGTTTTAAAATCTAAAATCCATTTACTACTAATGTTCACCTTGGGCCTGCCTAGCAGCTAAGGCACGCGCCCCCTGTCGCCTGTCCCTGTGACACTCACACTGATCTTGGTCCCGTCGTTGTCCGGCTCTCTGTCTGGTAAGAGCTCCACCTGCGGGACAAGGATGCAAACGCTCAAATTCCCATCGAGGTTCTCTGACTCCCTCGTCCGCAGCACAGTGGTGCGGAGCCTTCCAGGCTAGTCCCAGCCTTTGTAGGTGTGTTGCAACATTTTAGTTAGGACTGGGAAGAGAAGGGACGTGGCCCCATCTGCATCTGGTCCCCTGGTCCGCCCTAGACCATCCCGCCTCCCGGAGGTTCGCTGGCCTGCGGCCAAAGCCGCGCGGTTAGACCCGGCTACCTCCCTAGCGCGCTTGTCGCTGCCCAGCGTGGTCCCGGAGCCACCAGTTTCGCGGAGGCTGAGCTCCGGGAGGCGGGCCCAGTGCCCGCGGCCGGGCCAGGTCTTCCTTGCGGTCGGATCCGTCTGGGGCTTCGGTTCCGGGAAGGTTAAGGACAGACTCAAAGATGCAAAGATGGGCGGAGATGTGAATGTGGGTGGAAGTTTTCGGGCACAAATTTCTCCATCTTTTTCTGCGCTGCTGTCCCATCCATTCCTGGGATTTTTTTTTTTTTTTTTACAGACTTTCTTTTTCCCTCTCCTGAACGTCCGAGTCCTCTTTTGCTCAACTGCCTTTCTTCTTCGCTCTGACCCTCTTCTGTCTCCCTTTCTCCTCACTAAAATTCCCTTTCCCCTCCTTTCCTCACACTTCCTCCTTTTCTTCCTCCCTCCTCTTCTTCCTCCTCCCCTTCCTCTTCTATCCATCATTCCCTCCTCCATCATTCCCTCCTCCCTTTCTCCTCTCCCTCCTTCCTCCGCTCATCAGCCTCTTCCTCTCTCCTACTTCTTTTCTTCCCCATTCCCTGCCCCACCCTCAACTATCTCGGTTAAAGGCAAAGGTGAGAGAAATGGGACTAGAAGGGAAGAGGGTGGTCATGCCGGCACGACCTCGGACAGGAGTTCTTCATGCACACATACTGTCTAGGAAAGAGTAGCGGATGTCCTGGGATGTACAGCGCTGTAGTGTCACAATGGGCATCTTAATAAAAGCAATATTAAGAGTAGGAGGTTACTCTCCAATTTCAATCAGGAAAGGCTCCCCGTAATATGACTTCCTTCGTGGTTTTAACTTTTGTCGCCCAGGACAAATTCAGGCTTGTTTCCTATATGGCTGGGCGTCTTTCACGCCCCCTCCCCAAAAGATGGGAAGGTCCCCAGGGACACCTAGGCAGCATCTTGGGCCCTGCTCCCCCCCCCCACATTGGAAACCCAGAGAACTAAAAGAGTGGGACAGACACGGGAGCTTTGCGGACTACGTGACTGCACTACCTGCGCTCCAGCCACCTCGGACCCAGGCTCCAGGTCCTCGGGCCCCCGCAGGAACCACCACTGGATCTCCAGGTACACCGAGGCGGAGCCGCTCTGAAAAGCGCAGGACATCTCCACATTCTGTCCCTCTGTGGCTGTCACATTCCGAGGAAACTCGGTAAATTTTGCTGTAAAACAGGAGCACATCCTTTTGGCACATATACACCACTCTCTCCAACGTTTCTTTCCTTGAGAGCTCACGTTTTTCTCGGACTTAAAAAACAGCAACAACCCGTCTATGACATCCCTGACTTTGCCTGCCTACATCCCCCACCCTCCGCCTTTCTTTGCCTCTTGCCAGTCTTATTTTTGGTATCATGACTAAATCACTTTGTTGTTGATCAGGTCCAGATAATGGAATGGTTAACAAGCTTGCCAGTAACTCTTTTAGCCAAGATGCCCAGAGTTAGATCCAAATACCCTTTTGTCAGATTGCAGTATGCCACAAAACTTACTGAGATTCAGTGAGGTACAATTTAGACCATATGTCAAGTTGTTATTATGAGGAAAGCCTCTTCCCTCTAAGTTTCTAAACAGTGTATGACTAACGGAATATTTCATTTTGCAAGGCTGATCATGACTCTGTCAAAATGCACATTGCTGATATGACAAAAACAGTTATTAGCAATTGTGATCTGAAGCCTACAGTAGTGAAACAAGTTGCACACTTTTTAATGTTTTTATTTCATTCTCTAGAAATTAATCTTCACATTTGTTCCTATTAAGTTATTGAATAGCTATTGCCATGTCCCTTGGAATCTAACAATCATACATCCAGGCTTAGTTGAGATTGAAAAATATTTTGAAATCACTAAAGAGATTTTTTTAAAAGCCTATTCATTACCAACTGTAACACTGCCAGTTTGTCAGATTCATATATACATGGTGAAACTCACAAAAAATAAAATGTCCTCTTTCTCCATAAGGGCATGTTTTGGAACATGGGATGCTCTTGTTAACATGGTTGTTCTTATCTGTGTAAAGGACACTTTGCAAAGAGCTGATTGCTTCCTAAAAGTAGTCTTAGATTTGTGGCTGATGGAATTGTATAGCTACAATGCACACTTATGGAAAGAAGGGCTGAGGGAACTACAGGGATGATTTAGGGTGTATGCACTTTACCCCCAATTTTAAAAGATAGATACTCATTTCAAAATTTTATGAAATCCCAGATTGATCTCTAGTGAAATGGAACTGTGTTTATACTTAAAGGAAATGGGAGCTATTGAGAAGGCAGTCTGATCTGAAAAGGACTTTTCTTTTCAAACTGGAAGGAGGAGTACATGGCATTTCTGCTTGCAGAAGTGATGCAGTCTTCTGGCAGCAGAGATGTGATCTGTTCATGGTGCTGAAACGACCACTGCAGCCTGCAAAGTCCTGAACAACTGGATTCAGCAGGCTGCTGCAGCTTGTAATGCAAGTCGTGCCTTTTTTTAATGGGTCCTCAGAGGAGTCTGTCCTTTGATAAACACACATGCAAACGAAGTCACACAGACTCAGAAAAGGCAAACTCTAAACCCTTTCTGCCTGCAAGGGAAAGCAGGACTGATGATGGAAAGTCCCCCAATATCCAGTTCTGTTTGTGGTGATTATGTATGCATGAGTGGTTATCCTGTGCATGCACACAGAAAGTACACACACACACACACACACACACACACACACACACACAGCCCTGTGTTTGTGTTCACTGAGGAACTCACTTCATTGCTAGGCACCAAGTATATAATCTCTGAAACCTCTCATGCCTATGATTTAATGAACTTTAAAGAAAAATATCAAACAGAATACTATCCATACAATGTAAACCCACTGTTACTTGCTAAGAATCTCACTATATCTTCCTGTACATGCTTTGAATATAAGGAAAACAACACACACACACACACACACACACACACACACACACACCAGATGTATATTTGCCATTGAGCACAGACTTACCTTGAGAAGAAAGCCCTTGTTGTACATATAAAACGGAAAAGAAAACAATTCCAACATATGCCAAAAAGATCCCCATCATTCCAAAGTGGGGGGGTCACATCAGTGTAGCCAACAGCAAAAAAAGCCCTAAAAGAAGAGAATGCAAGTGTATCAGAAGGCTCTGTTTCAGAGCCCTGGGCGCGACACTGCAAACATCCTATCCTGCTGCTCGCTCCGCGGGTGAAGACTGGCTTTAGGGGAGAGGGGAATGCAATTCGCGAAGGTTAAAACCAGCTGGCTAGGATTCCTGAGGCTTCTAGTGCAGACCCAGGCTTCAAACGCTGGGAAGTGTCTCCGCTGCTGGCTGGCTGCTTTCAGCTACCTGGCAGCTCGTCCAACGTCAGCCCGCTGCTCCAGCTTGCGTGATCACTGCCCTCCCTAAACACCGAGCCAGCTCGGGAAGCGGGGAGTGGGCAAGGGGGGCGGGCTGGAGGACTTCGCTGGGCTCGCGGCGCCGCAACTTTTCCCTCTAATGGCTGCGATGATGCCTTTAACTCTCTGCGTGCTGGAAAGCTCCGCACCTGCGGGTAGCTTGGGCCGGGCAGCCCGCAGAAGGCTGAGGGCTGGGCGGCTCCATCTGTGTTTCCCTTCTAGAGAGCAGGGACATTTATTTTTTCCCAATTTGCTTTTTCTCCCCATCAGTTGAATCTTTTTGTCTGGATCTGATGGCTTACTGCTGAAGAAGACAATACAGTTGGAGGGTTGCAGTGTTTGCTTGGGGCTAGGAGTGAGGGATCTGAGGAGGAAGTTGAAGCATTGTTGAAGAAGAGGGAGGAATGGGATGGGGTGGAAGAGACTGCTTCGAGGCGATGAAAACAGCCATTTGAGGGAAATGTCGCTTAACCAGTTATTAACTGCTCTAACTAGAATGATCACATGCTATTATTTCACAAGAATTTATTGCTGCACAGCCTCCAGTTGGAAGAGAAGCCTTTCATGCAGGCACCATATCACTCCAGCTAGTAAATCAAAGAGAAGAAAAGTAAAAAAAGTCACGTATTGAGAGAATTTTCAAGAAGAAAAAGCCCACCACATTATGTTTATTATTTTTTAATTCATATACCCTCTGCCTTCCCTCCCTCTCACAGTATCTTGGAGGGGGGGAAGGGTTTTCAGTATCATTAAGGTTTTCACGACACGATTTATTTCTATTTTGTTCACTTTCTTCTCTTTTGTATAACAATAATTTTGTAAGGTACCCCAGAATTACATGAATATGAGATATATAATTTGAGGCAGAAAAACAGTTTTAGAATTTTTAGCAAATATAGTTTTCTGCTCTGGCAAAGTTTGAGAAGTATGTTCTATTTTTCAAATGAAAAATCTAAACAACAGTATATATCCTATTAGATTGTGATTCTATTTGTCCTTGTGAATTCTAACCATTATTAAGTTTGAATCTTTAACAAAATTGAAATCATGTGCTATCAAAGGAGAGTGTAATTTTTTTAAATTCCAATTATTTTTTCTGTGTAACAATATCTCCAATCTGTAGTATAAGTTGGAAATATAAGTTAATATTAGCAATGCTATGCAGAAACCAATGCAGTATATGTGGATTCATTAACAGATAAAGAATTTGCAGTTGGCTAATGCGTTTATTGGCCAGAAACAAAAATTAACCTTAACATAGCTTTTGGATTTTAAAAACATTTCTACTGCTGAAAGCAGCAGAAACTTAAATTTCAGAAAACTAAGACATGATAACTTCGAAACATTGTAATTTATTTTCTGAAACTATATTTATTTTCTACCATAGGTAGAGGCAGAACAGGAGACTTGGAGACAGTCATGGAGATATTTTGTATCTGTTGACGTTTACGCCAACCAGATTCTACATCCTCATATTTTATTCAGCAAAACAGATTTTGAAGTTTCTCATTCTCAGAAAATAAGACTCTTTATGTTCAAACACTCCTTCTGAGAATGTGTTCAGTGTATAGAAACACAGTTTAAATTAACATACCCATCGCATTCTAAATATTATATTATTTGGAAAGCAAACAACAAAACATTGCAGGTATTAGCTATTTAGAGATTGGTCATCTTCAGCTTTGAATATGCTTAACAGAATATGCACAAAGTGTTAACAAGATTTAAAGCTTTTTTTCAACATTTATTATAAACACTAGTTTAGTATGTCATGAAAATGACCTGACTTCAAGGTTATCTGCTATTTGAATGGTTTTCAATATGAAGAAAAGGGCATCCATTTTAAGCAAGAGAAGTTCTAAATTAATTTAGCAAAGTACTTCAACTGCTTTATGGGGAATTTGATCACTATAATTGTAAAAGCATAATAAAAATAAGATTAAAATGTAAAAAAGAAAGTGTGAGGAATGCTATTATAGGGAAGATAAATCATTAAAGTATTTTAAATAGAAAGTTAAAGCATTCAAGCTATGAAAAAAGGAAGAAAGGAAGAAAAGGAAGGAGTGTGAAAGGGAGTTAGGGAGGAAGGAAGGAAAGATGAATGAAAGGAGGGATTGGAAAAATTTTGTTATTCTTCTTATGAAAATTGCCTGATATGTATTGTATTATCAGTTTTGCCATTGTAGATCAAACTATTTTCTTAAGTATCTATAACATATTCTTAAAGACTTTAAATAGTGCCACTAAACACATCTGTATTAATTTCTACAGAACAATTAATTGCCTTATTAAAGACAATATATCTCTATATTGGCAGCTTGAAATGACAAAAATATTAATAAAAAGTAAATATACACAGTGTATTAAATGATACTGTCAAAGACAAAGTTCCATAATTTTAAAGTGTCCTCACAAAACATTATATTTTCCTATAAGTTCAGAAGCAAATTATCAGATAAGATTTCTTGTCTGTATCCATATATGGGAGAAACATTTTCTACTCATCTTTTCTTCCCAAGTTATTGCTGATGACTGATATTATTTAAATGCCTGCAAATCTCCCTTTTTTTTAAAAAAACCACATTTATGAACTAGTGTTCCAAAATTAAAAATAACAAGATTTAAAGCTTTTTTTCAACATTAAAAATCTTTCATCTCAACTTTTGATGGTTTTCTTGCTCTCTGAATTAGTTTTCGTCCATTATTTAACATTTAAAAAATGTAAAAAGTCCATATCCCCACAGGTATTTTTGGTTCTAAATTTTATGATGGTCATGGTCATATGATATGTTCCTTCCTCAGACATAATTCAATCTGTTTGTGTCCTATTGTTTTACATTGTATGTTGTTTCAATTCCATTTATTTATTTTTCACATACTCAAATTTGCTTAACTTTCTCTTTCAAACACTGTTCCTTTTCGATGTCTGTAGCCTTCACATCTTATAAGCTTTCAGAGCTCTTAGTCCATCTAGATCTCAGCTGGAGAGGAAGGTCTTTAAGTTCTGTGCCTATTGACAATATGATCTCTTTCTCCTAAAAGGGATTTGGGGGACATTTTTTCATTTTGAACTTGAGAGAAATCATATTTCACTCCCATTTGCTCTCAGTAGGTTGACTTTCCATGTCACCTTTCTTATATATACCAAATGAAAACATTAAAAAAAATTGGAATAGGGGCTGGAATTGTGGCTAGTGGTAGAGTGCTTGCCTAGCATGTGTGAGGCCCTGGGTTCGATTCTCAGCACTGCATATAAATAAATAAAGGTCCATTAACAGCTTAAAAAATTGGAATAATTGGCAGATGTAAAACTAGGTATTTTCTTTTGCAAACAACCTTTAAAGTATTTAAAATATTCACTTACAGAATTGAAAAACAATCTGTGTGGATCCTGAAAGGTAAATTTTGTTTCTTTACCTCTCTTGCAGGTATCTTACTGGCTCAGATGAACTGTGTATGTGTTTCCACCATGCCCCTGGAGGTACATCCTACTGTGCTCTTGAACACTTTCTTTGGAGATAATCAAAACTGCATAAGAGAGAATATTTCAAGGTATTGAGAAAAATTTTCACATACAATCTCATGCTTGGATTAATTTATTTCTCACTTGGGAAAATAAAAGGAAATATTACAAAGTCTAAATGTTGAAGAGATATAAAAAAATCAACAAATTTTATTTCAACTGAAGAAAATAAGAGTCTAAGAGAAAGTCACTAACTCATGTTAATCCAAAATGAGCTTTTAAAATATGTATTCTGCTGACCATACAAGCTAAAGTAGTCAAATTTATGTCTCCTCTACATTCTGCAATTTCAAAGATATGATAAAAATCAAGGACACATGGAAAAAATGGATGAAACAACATAAATAATATCTTCTTTCATACATGTTCATGTCAGTTTCCCCCATAATTACTAATTGCACATGTGTTTACAAAATGAGTGCATTTCTGAACTGCAGTGGATTTTAAGAAAAAAATGAACACTAGCCCTTCATGTTACACTATTCTGGAACAAACTAATACTGTATTTCTTCAGGATCCTGAGATATAAAATACAAGCTAAGACAAGCATAGGAAAATTGTTAATGCTTATGGTTCTACAGATTATACTAAGAAATGACCATATAAATCAAAATCAACTAATTCTTTCTGGTAAACAAGTCATTTAAAAGTCTAGACTCTGAAGTAGTTCGCAGATCTCCTTAGTACAATCTCGTGTTATCTTATTTCTTGTGTTTTATAAAGTAAACGATTTATGTAGAGGGAATAACTGGTGGTCTCTGGAAGTGATCAAACATTTTAAATAGGCAAGTAGCCTATATGGACTCAGACTGCCCATTAAATGGCTACTGTTCATTTTAATCTTCCAGATGGCATTTATCCTTTTGTCTTTTTCTTTTATACATGACTGAAATGTAAATTACTTAGATCTGGCTTTTATGCTGTGGAACTCTGTGTAACTTTGTAATTGAAGTTCACAAAGTTAGAACTCAAATTATTCATGAGGTCGTGTTATGTCATTTTAAAACTGTAATGTCTGGCCTAGAGGCGACCTCTGGAAAAAGCAAAGAGAAGCCTCACATTTTCTGTAAAAGTTAATATCACAATCTGCTTAGATGCCCTCTACAAAACTCATGGACCCTGATATTCATTTTCTTCTCTTATTAGAAATTAAAATGGGCTTATGATCAAATATAGGTTGTGTCTGTTAATTTTCTTCATTAGCAAAAAGTTCATATCTCTGTTAAAAAAAAAAGTCTGCAGTAAAATACTACCAAGTAAGTCAAGCTTTTAATTTTGTTCTGCATTTGATTTAGCCATGTTCTAGCACAGAGTTCTATATTGGATAAAGGGCTTTGATATTACTCCAGCATGTATGGAATTCTCTTTGTGACTTAACTTGGATCTGAGAATATGGTAGGAAGATTTTTGTTTGTGTATGCATAATGACCTAAATCTGCTCATCAAAACCAAAATTTTCATTTTATTTTTTATTTGTTTTTGTGTTTGTTTACCTCACTGGTATAGATTGGTTGGTACTTTGGAAGAACAGTCTTCTATTTAATTTCTAATGTCATTATAATAAATGTG